TGAGTTACAAGCTCGGTCCTGGAGCGGATGATGTTGTATCTCCAGGTTCCATGTGTAATTCCATGGTTTGGATTAATTGGATAATAAAAACAGGCCTTGTTGTTGCAGCAATATGCAGAGGAAAGTTTTTTTTTTGTCATCTTTAGGAATGTTGATGCACCTCTTGTAAGCAAATTCCATAGTAATCGCAATTATGAATAATTACAATTAATAACAATTAATTGATCTTGACACAGCTTGACATAGCATGACTGCTACTGAGCAGATAGAACAGGCAGCAAAAATGAGAGTCAGAATTAAAAATAACAGCCTCCTTTCCAATAATATGATCAAATATTCATTTTACACCACCTTCAACCATTCCCGTGTTTTCCAGTCACATCATTGGACAATAGAGGGCACCCCAGCACTTTAATCTTTGGTCTTTCTGTATGGAATTTTCATGTTCTCCACATGTGTGTACGTAGGTTTTCCTCCCATCCTGAAAGCATGCCTATTAGGTATGAAGTGGATCAGACACTGCTCATTGCCCATAGGTAATAATAATAAATGTCAGCTTGTGCTAAGGACATCAATATTTTCATTAGAGACCAGAGGGATGTCAACAACCTCACTCATAGTTTGAGTCTCTATCGAAGAGCGTCCTCTGCCAAAGTAAACTGGGAGAAGAGTGAAGCTTTTCAGTGGTCAGTGGACAGATAAATAAACACCAAGGCTACCAGGGTAACCTCAGCCGGCAGAGACGGAGATTCAAGGTCTTAGGTTTGTTTGTAGGGACGGTAGAGTTTGAGATGAAAAACTAGGGAGGGTGCTATGGAGAAAGTGTGTGCCAGACTGTCTGAATGAAAATGGCTGCTACCTCAGCTTTCCTGATTGTCTATAACTTGATCGCCCCCAGTCTTTGGCACAGACTGACTGTCTTACCAACACCAAGGGCTCTGATCCAAAGAATTCAGTGGGCCATCGTGGTAAAAAAAATCTGATCCAAAGAATTCAGTGGGCCATCCTAGACTTTGTAGCAATGGACTGGGGAACTACCCAAGGTGTAACCCACTTTTCCTCAACCCTGCAAACAAAGTGGTAAAAAAAATCGGATGGATTGTTGTGCTACTGACATGTTATTTAAAACAAGTAGCATTCAAGCTTATAATTCCCTGATACTCCCACTGACTGGACGACTGTCATCTGTCCTCATGACACTTCAAAAAAATTCTCCTCCTTGACAGCAGATGCTCCTCGACATGAATTTAAATTGAGGAAATGCATGTTCATCATACATGCTCTTTTCCATACAAAGACATCTCACTAAATCCATCACTTCCTTCTGCATCTTTCCATATTTCACTCCCGTCACACTCGCCATTTGTCTTTCTGGAAGTGTCAGAGTCTGGGGGCAACCTTGACATTTTAAGACATTAAATCTGTATCAGCACCTGTCGGCACCCTGAAGTGCTTCTGTATTTTCCTGTGTTCTCAAGCGCATCAAGAGAAAATACAATTTCACCTATAGTGTCTGTCTCTGTCACATCTGGATGGTGGCTTCTTCCTTTCTTCATCTGTGATTCACTCTTTTTTTAAACCTCACTGTCTGACGTTAGCTCCCAGTCTGCCATTGTTTGAAATGTAAAGCTTCCAACAAATGAAGTCTATAGCAAACTGTCAAAATTGAATTATCCAAAATAATCCTTTTTAGTTTAGTTTGAGTGCTTTTCTACTTCCTAATGTATGGTAAAAATGTGCTTCTGGTACTGATCCTGAAAAAAAAAAATCAACATTTATTGAGTCTAGATAAAATATACACTGCTCAAACAAAAAAAAAAAAATTGAATTTACTCTGTGTCACTGTTTAAAAGGAACTGAATTTATGTTCTTTTACATACGAACTGCTATTGTAGTGAATGCAGACAGGAAATGCAGACAGGAAATACAATTATGATTAGCATTAGCTTTAAATGCTAACAAGATCTTCAAAAAATGAAAGCTTACTTTCTCCAGCAACTTAAGCAAATAAGACACAGTGAGTTTTTTTTTTTTTTTTTTTGGCAAAATAATAGCCCCAAAATAGCAATAAATAGCACCTAATATTATTATTTTTTAAATGTATACCGTATTGTTTCCACAAAGTAAAAAAAAGAGCTAAAACTAGAAGCTGTTCTTCCCTCTAACCCTTTTCTGTACACGTCTGTTAGTAATTATTCCTCATTAATCTACCGCAGTTCACTGCCACTCTGTTAACTCAAAGGTCTTTGTGACAAAATTAGCTCCTTTATTAACTCTACATCATCACTGCTGCCATTTAAAGGGCTTTTACAGCTACCTACGTCTTTACACCTGAATTGCCCTTTTAAGTGACGGGACGTTTCCGTTGCCTTACCGTTACTTTCTCAACTGCAGTATTGGGAAAATGGGGGGGAAAGTACAGTATAATGTCACAGCTTCCTGAAGTTCAGAGCAGCCTCTGTCACATCTGCTCATTGAATTATATAACTTCGTTGTATAACAAACACAGTAGTGGAAATGCTATTGTTGCTTTTATGCACAGATGAAAATGACTTTCATCATCCAGGCCATCTGTCCAAATGCTATAAACCTGCAGAAGTGTGTGTTTATAACCAAGTTAAAACTAATGGCTTTTTTATACTCTGAACCAGATGTGTACCAGTCGTTTTTAAGAAATCTGCTAGTAAAGGACTGAAAGTTAAAGAAGAAGAAGAAAATTCTTTTTTACGGACATCTTTATATAAAGAAAAAAAGTTTTATCCATCCATCCATCTATCTATCTATCTTGAGGTATTCAGATCATCATCCATCCATCCATCCATCCATCTATCTTGAGGTATTCAGACGATATTGAAATGCTACTGAAGAGTATTTTTTAACTTACTATAACTTACAACCTCATGTCACAAAAGAGAAGTAGCATGTTATTGCATGTTATGCTGTTGTAAATTTCAACAGTATTTTGTGTACAAGTTCATACAAGAAACCAATAAAAATAATTAGCTCTTACAAAAAAGATAAACACAACTAAAGAGAGAATAAAGCTTTAAATAGAAAAGCTGAGGAGTCGTGATTGCACAAAGGTTGCGTTGCTTTCTTACAAATTATTCTCCGAAATACTGTCGCCGGCCAACTGCTTTTGGTTGATCCAAAGCAGTGGCAACTTTTCCACTTCTTCTAATGTCTGAGATCTTTGCTTGGTGATCACAGTCACTCCTTTGAGCCTTAGCTTCTGTCAGGTCTGTCTGTTTCCTGTTCCTGCTGTCTGCTGTGTGGGTTAATCAGTGTGATCACACTCACCTGTGTTTGAGGCTGTGTATTGTTCTTTGAGTTTGTCACACTCACCTGTGTTTGAGGCTGTGTTTGTGCCCTGATGGAGATGCCCTGTGATGTCCATGCTTTTCCCTGATGGTGATGCCCTGTGATGTCCATGCTTTTTCTTCCTGTCACGCAGTGAGTTTTTGGGATTTTGATTTTTGAATAAACCACCTACACCTGAAAAGAGTCTCTCCAGTACTGCATTTGGGTCCTGCCTGTTTCCTGTCCATGTCGGCAAGTAACAGCTTCTTTTCTTTCTTCCTTGTTCTTAATGATGGTACAAATCAACGGCTTTGCTAAGCCATACAGACAACAGCTCTTAGCGTGTATATACTGAGCGTGGGCTGAGGCAAGACTGACATCACACACACTCAGTCACTCTGTGATTACTTGCTGCCTGATATTGTTGGCTGGTTCGGCAGTTTTTGGTTGAAAGTTTTGATTGTGAGATGGTAGGAGTTCAACAACCGAGGTTCCACTGTATGTGTGTGTATGTA